CTCTGCACTTCTCTCTCCCCAACCCCTTTCGCTTTCGAGCTCAGCGGAAACGTCAGACTTGTTAGAACGCGGAAGCAGTTGTGCGAGCCAAGTAGTCCATTAATGCGAACTGGTGCAAGACAGTCCGCACTCAGCAGTTTTCCTCTAGAGGTTTTGAGACAGTAAAACTTGTAATATGGAACGTTGGATAGGCAGGGTTGCTCTCGTCACTGGTGCCTCAGTTGGAATCGGAGCAGCAATCGCTAAGTCTCTTGTCCAGCATGGCATGAAGGTGGTCGGATGTGCCAGAAACGTGGAACAAATAGAGGTAATATACCGAGATCGCTTAGTGATTCTCTTTTAAAAATGATGCAGCTGTAACAGAGTGTTACGACCACCGACGTATGATGTACAAGCAACGTTTAGACATTATGCACGTTTTTAAGGGCAAAAAGTAGAGGGCTGGCTTTTAAACATGACTGGGTAATAGGATTGGTGGTGATGGACGATGACGTCAAGGGTATAAATGAGATTGACAGTGGCAGCGGACCAATGACGAGTGTCTGAGAAAGTGAAAGTAGGGAAAATGCCCCCTTTAGAACAGAACAGTGTGCATTTACTTTTAAATTCTAAAATATTGAAATGTACAGAATAATGATGCCAAGGGGAATACAAAGAATGTAATTGAACAGAACATTTACAAAGTTAGTTGTCTGAGCACAAAATATTAGATTCTTTCCCACTACTGTTGTAAATTGGAGAAGATATTTATTAAATTGTGAGAAATCTTCCAAAAACTATATTCATATGACATTCACAAGTTAATGACGAGTGAAACAAGTAGCAAACACAGAAGTGAATGGTAGTACAGTTCAATAAGCCTTGCTGAATTATTTTTCTCTTCTTATAGAAATTAGCAACAGAATGTGTTAGCTGTGGATTCACTGGCACACTGCTTCCATACAAATGTGATCTCTCGGTAGAGGAGGAAATGTCATCCATGTTTGCCTGGATTAAAGTCCAACATCAGGGCATTGACGTTTGCATTAATAACGCTGGCTTGGCTCTCCCTGAACCTATATTAAGTGGCAAAACCAGTGGATGGAGGACCATGATTGATGTAAGTAACTCCGAGGACAAATAAACAGGTATTTCTGATGAAGTGTTTCCCAGAGCAATCTAATCAGATATATTGTAAAAAAAAATGTGCAGGTGAATGTTATTGGACTGTCAGTGTGCACGCGTGAGGCTTACATGTCTATGAAAGAAAGAGATGTTGATGATGGGCATATCATTAACATTAACAGGTACAGGAATGTTTTGTTGTACATTTTAAATTAATTTTACAGCCTGTGCTGGGGCAACAAAGCACTAATTGTCTTAAAATTTCCTGTTGTGTTTTAGTATGAGTGGACATCGGGTGGTGCCCAGTGCTAATGTACACTTTTACAGTGCCACTAAATATGCCGTAACTGCTCTCACAGAAGGTCTGCGGCAAGAGTTACGGGAGGCTAAGAGCCACATACGTGCCACAGTAAGAGTGGGCTAATCGAGGATTGTTTGGAATGATGCCATGTTCTTAAGTAATATGACTATGTGTATCGAAGCATGTCTAAAATTAAGAATTCCCTATCTTTGACAGAGTATATCTCCTGGTATAGTGGAGACTGAGTTTGCTTACCGGCTCTTACGTAACAACCCAGAAAAAGCAGCAGCTAGCTATGCAAGTATAAAGGTATAGACAAGTTCTGATGCTCCGAATACCATATTGCATGTCATTGTTTTACCTCTTTAAAAGTTGTAATGTCCTATTTACAGTGCCTAAAAGCAGATGACATAGCCAGTGCAGTGGTGTATGTCCTAAGTGCTCCTCCTCATGTCCAGGTAAGCATGGTGCATAACAGCTGAAATCCAAAAGTATTGTTTTGCTATTTATACTGACCCTGCTGTGATCTGAATAAAATATTGAATGGACATTATCTTCATTTGCTGTGTATAGACAAGGCATCAGATTTGGTATCCGCATCAAATTAAATTTACAAAAGTGATTTCATATACATAGAGAGCATATTAAATCTAAGTAAAGTAATGTTTCAAAAAAACTGTTGTGAAATAATGTTCCATTGTCTGTATACAATATATAAAATAATAAGTTATTATATATTTAAATGATTAAAGACGTCTTGCTGACAAACCTAGTGGCAAAGATTGGTCAAGATATAAAATTAC